CGAGGTTCATATAGTGAAGTAAAAAAACTATATTTAAGAATGCGATTAATTATGAATAGGTAAATAAGCTGACTTTTCGCTCTAGAAATTCCTGTAGCAGCAAGAGTATCATCGTCGATCTCTTCATCCTGAGGATTGCTTGACTGCCAAGGAGGAGTGTCCATCATCTGACTTCGTGCCAACTGGCCAAGACGGCCGAAGTTGAGACCTTGAACAGCAGTGTCTTCTTCATCTAGTCCATCGATTATGCCTTCATCACGGGTCGGATCGCTAAGAGTCTGGTGGTTTGAAGGATACGAGGCTGTAGGCTGAGGCTGTTGGGCTTGAGAGGCACGCTGGAACGCGCCGCGAATCATTGTCATGTCTGAAGAACAAAAACAGACAAGCCGTTGTCAAGTGATTTTGTGAAACCTGTTTTGGGGAGCACCAAGTAAGGGACAAATGGAGACATAAGGGAAAGTTCCACGTTGGCAGCTAAAATTCAGTTGCCTTTATATCTGTAGAAAATTCTTTGGGACAACAGGAATAGAAAGTAAATTTTTTGTAGTTCTTAGTTATTCAAGACATTTTTTAGTTCTTAGTTATTCAAGGCATTTTTGTAGTTCTTAGTTATTCAAGGCATTTTTGTAGTTCTTAGTTATTCAAGGCATTTTTGTAATTCTTAGTTATTCAAGACATTTTTGCTGGGGTTATTTGAAAAATATGTAAATAATGAGCAGGAAAAAAAATGTAAGCCAAGGTAAATTGCTTAGAAAACACAAAATCAAAAATAATGTAATCTAGGAAAGTAGACTAATATCAGTTACTTTTTTATGAAATAAAACGCAACAATAGAATAAATACATTTCATATTTAAATGTTCATCTCAAATAATAATACAACCTTTAAACATTTCGGAGACAAATTAATGCACACCAACTTTGTAATAGATGGATTTGATCTATACACCGTAATTGATATACACAGCTTCACATTCTTAAATCACATGGCGCACAGTTAAAATGAAACAGTCTGTGTAAATTCGTATATTATTTTTAGAATGAAAAACTTATAATCTTGATGCAAAATATGATTGCAGGTCCAGGTAGATAAATTTAGTGCCAGTCATAAAAAATATTAAAGCTATCAGTAGATCATGAATAATAAACAGGCCGTCTGAAGTAAGATAAGATAACGAATGATAAAATAATCTTTCAAGATAAAATGAGAAGGCCAAATGTCAATGAATTTTATAAAGCCTTGATCTGAACATTGAACTTGGCTTAATCATCACTCCGAAAGAATTCTAAATGAAATTACGAGCGTTAAGTAGAAACGCTACTAATCCGACAAAAACTGGGCATTAATAAAACATTCAACAAAAAATTCGAAAAATACTCAGTACAATCGAACAAATGTCGTAAAAAACTCAGTGGACATCATATCCTCTGTGAAAGGTGATGATGAAAGCAATGTCTGGGTCGTAC